CCATTCCCTTATATAATAAATTAATCCTCCACAAGTCATTCAACTTATTCAGCTGACCTGACTTGAATATAAGTATGACTTAACATTTTAATTAATCTATTCCCTTATATAAAATAAGTAGGACTTAACTGATAAGTTAATCCGTCTCTAGAATGCCACCGTCCTATACCGGTGCATTAAACCACACAATCCAACAGTTGATGTAATAATTAAGGAAATACATCAAACAATCTAGAAATAACTATGATAATATGATATCAAGTTATCACAATATGGGAATGACTTATTATTTATTTAAGCTTCCTATATCATATGTCCTACACAAACTGAATCTTATACATGATGATATTTTATTATACCGTCAAATAAGGATTCTCCATATTCAATTCATCCTACACATTTAATTTCAATTGTTAAAATATTTTAAAAGATTAAATCCATTCGTTTGTTTAAAACCTTCAAATAGCAAGCATCATTATAATTGAGTCTATTTAAATTTATTTAAACCCAAACTTAGTCCCTATTTAATGTTCAGAAATCATAGGCATGTTTTTACGTTCCATCATTCCACATAAATGAAAAATACATAATTTAAACATATAAAAATTCACACAAAAAATTAAATCAAAATCATGCATTTATCAATTCATAACACAAGAACAGATATGAACCAATTTTATAAAACCTATGTTTTAATTCAATTAAACATGCATAATTATTTAATTTTATGTGTTTACTAAATCCTGGAATTTCCTAGGCATATACAGAAACACGAATCAAAAGGAAAGAAATAAAAGAAGAACTTGCCTTAAACATCGAAAGTTAAACTTCTTCTTCCTAGATCCTCTTCTCTAAATGGTTTTCTCCTCCTTCCTTTCTCTTCCTCATTCTCTCTCTAATATAAAATCACGTACTATATTTTTTTGAAGCCTCCTACAGACTTATACTTATGTATATATAGGCTAAATAAAATTAACCATAGTTCTAATTTCATTCCAAGTTAACTTAATAAAGAAAAATTAAAATTAAAATATAAAAAGGTAACCTAAAACATGATACGTATATAATTTATGTATATCCTTATTAAATAAATAAATTATATACATCCCATTATTTATTAGTGGATTATCCAATAATACTTAAGTTACCATAATATTATAAAATAACTTAAAACATAACACGTATCAAATCTATGTATATTTTTATTATTTAAATATAAAACATATACATCAGATTAAATATTACTACCCAAGTTACAATAAAAGTAATTAATAAATTACCTATTATTTATTAATGGATTATCCAATAATACTTAAGTTACCATAATATTATAAAATAACTTAAAACATAACACGTATCAAATCTATGTATATTTTTATTATTTAAATATAAAACATATACATCAGATTAAATATTACTATCCAAGTTATCATAAAAGTAAGGGTAAAATACAAAAAACCCCCCTGAACTATTGGGGAACATGCAAACAACCCCCTATACTACAAAAAATGTAGAAAACCCCCTAAACTAGTTACATTTGTTGCAGATTGCCCCCTCCGGCAATAGTCCGGCCAAAAACATCTCTAATTTGAGCGCATGTGTGACACTTGATATATGAATTAATTTTGATGGACAATAATGCCCTTACAAAGCTGAAAGGACCAATTCGCCCCTGTTATGACCGTTGCAGCCAAACGCACCTTAAGTCTCAATCCTTATATATACACATACACCAGTATATACACCCAACTATTGGAACCCTAAAATAATTTCAAATTGATTCGCCATACCTCTCAATCCTTTCAATCCATATGATTATCTGTTCGTTGTGGATCCTCTATTTCTCGTGCCATCAGTTTATCGTCCATTAATCACACTCTCTCTATATTTGTTGTGTTCTACTCCTCTCTGTGAATCTCAGATCTGTATCGACTATAAGGTAATAATCTCTCTCTATTTGGCTCTATATTGATGTCAGTTGATATATATATATATATCTAAGGTAATCCCCTCTCTGTATTTGGCTCTATATTGACAAGTTTAACTATATAAATAGAGATCGTGTACATATATATAGTTCTCCTAATTTTTTGAAGGTCTTGATAATGGACAATGCTGGGCCTCGAATGATGAATAAGAGGTGTTGGTGTGGCCAGAGAGCTTCTGTATTCATTTCTGAGTCCGCGAATAATCCTGGGAGGCCATATTATAAGTGCAGTAGAAGGGTTTGCAAGTTTTTTGAATGGGGGACTCCTCTTTTGATACCAAACATCAATCGATATCCTCAAGCTGGTCCTCTTGTCCCTCTGGCTGATGAAGTTCTTCCAGTAGCTCTTAATTCCATCACATCATTTGCAATGGCTCTGTTCGTGGGAAGTATTATATTCTTTGGGTTCTCTATTTTAGTTTTATTTATTTTTGTTGCTCTTAACTGAATGTAATGTAGGTTAAGACTGTTTTGGTTGTTTTATGATGTTATATGGAGGTTTGGGTGTATGATGGCATGAAGGTTTGGGTGTATGATGTTATGGAGGTTTGGGTTATTATACGATGGTTTATGTTATATAGTTGGATGTTATGTAGGAAGATTGTGCCAAACTCTGTTTTGTAATAGTGTTGTTAACTAATGAAATGCCAATTTGCAAGAACCCTTGGTAGCTATTGTGTTTTTTAAGTGGTATTGTGTAATGTTAAGTGCCATGGTATTGTGCTTTTGACGTGATATTATGCACAAACACACTACACTGCAATAAAGCAAGCCTGCATTGACAACAAATGGAACACATTCAAAGCACACTAAGCATGTGAATACCAAACTACACTGCAATACATGCCAATGACACATTCAAAGTGCAATTTAATGACCTGTTCAATGACAACTACAAATGGAACACATTGAAAGTGCAATTTAATAAGTTGTTCAATGACAGTATACATGTTCAATGACACTAGGCCTGTTCAACTAAACTACACTGTAATTTTTTAAAGCATTCAAAGCACACTGCAAGCAAATAAATATACATCAAAACCAAATGACTGAGCACCATCAACCTTTAATTGCACTGAAACAAATTTCTAGAAATAACCTGTTCAATGACAGTATATCTGTTCAATGACACTAAGCCTATTCAACCAAAGTACACTGTAATTACATAAGGACATTACCATTTTAAACATAAGTAACATCAGTACTACTTAATAACATACATATATGGAAATCGAACTAAAGTTCTCCTATCCCATGAACATATACAATAACCAAAAAGTCAGCATGAGCCATAGCAGCAACAAAACAACATCCAACAGTAACTTGGAGTGACAAAAACCACTGACAGCAAGAAGACCATAGACAAAAAGGGTCATCCACTAACAAAAAGCTTCAACAAAAGCTACAATTACTGGCCTTCTTCACTACCAACAGGCATACTCACTGTCTATCATGAACCTGTTAACAAACCAACCAATTTGTTATGATTTATAACAAGTCATACCAACCAACATAAAGAGAACATAAGGGATTGTTTTCAGCATACCTAGAAGAAGATGATGCCTGACTTTGTGAAAGCTGTGTAAAGGGTATGTTTAAAACCTAAAATGAATAGTACAAGTTAGCTCAGTTAAGGTAGACATAACATGAAAATTATCATAAATATCATATTAAAAGTACCTCTTGGTTTGAAGGTACTGGAGGTGGAATTTCAATTTCTCTAGCTCTCCCTCTTCCTCCCCTTTTTCCTCTTCCTCTGCCTGTTATGCCTCCAGGTACTCTTGGTCTTCCCCTTCCAAGAATGGGTGGTTTACCTCCTCTTCTTGGAGGAGGTTTGTCAATCACTAATGGCTCAGGTGCTTTGCAGGTCCTTGTGTTATGGCCACTCTCCTTGCACCTTGAACATTTCAAATTTTCCTTAGACCTACTAAGTTTGGTTCCACCCTTTGGTTCATCATTCTTCTTATTCCTAGTCTTTTTTGGCTTACCAGTGGGCTTCCTATAGTGTGGTGGAAGCAGTGGTTGAATGGGGTCTGTTTTCATCAACCTTCCCATTAGAATGGGTAGGATTAAACCAGCATAGGACTTGAGGTAGGTTTCTCTGTGATAGTATGGGTGAACATATACCTTAGGAGCTTCCCTCTTCATAAAGATGCATGCTACAGCATGCCTACAGGGGATGCCAGTCAAATTTCACACCCAACAACTGCAAGTTTTCTTCTCAATGTCAACTGCTTCACTTATGCCATAACATTCGACCTCATACTTTTGATTTCCAGCATAATGCACCTTACACATTCTAGCTTGGTATTTCATTTTGTTGAGATTCTTTTGAATTTCTGGACATAACAAGCCTTGTTGTAATGACATCCATTCTCTCTTGCATTGAAACCTTAACATTAGATACCTCCTAATCCATTCTAGCATGTATATTATTGGTTTATCTCTTGCATCAACAATAATTGCATTCCAACTTTCACATATGTTGTTGATGAGTATATCACATTTTGAAGTTTGGGTAAAGCCTGACCTTGACCACAAAACAGCTGGCACCTTCCTCAACCACTCATAAGCTTCCACATTTAAGTCCCTTATTTTCCTCATATGTTATTCAAAGTCTGCTTCAGTATATACCCTTGCTGCCTCCCATAACTCTATTTTTAGTTGCTGTCCTTTGAACCTGAGTTTGAAATTCTCATACAGATGCCTTACACAAAATCTATGGTCTGACCATTCCATCATGTGCTCAAAGGTTTCTACTAAACCTTAACACACGAGACAAATCAAATAGAAAATCAGTGTTAAAAAAAGTAGAATAAAACAGACCACAAAATTAAATTAAAATAGAATCTAAACATACATAGAAGTAAATTAAATAGAAAGTGTACCTTCTGTCTATCTGATATAAAAGTTATATCTTGGTAAGGTCCTATAGCATCCATTAATTCTCTCATAAACCATTCCCAAGAATCTCTTGTCTCAGACTTACTACTGCAATTGCCATTGGAAACATCTATCCATTTCCATTATTGGCCACTGCACTCAAAAGATGGCCACCATATGGTCCCTTTAGGAAGCAACCATCCACACCAATGAGAGGCCTACAACCTTCTTTAAAACTAGTTTTCATTGTATCATAACAGATAAACACTCTCATGAACCTTCTCTCATTCTTAACACCAGCGGGCTCAGTTTGCAATTTAACAATACTGCCAGGGTTACTTCTCAAGATTAAACTGCAGTAATCTCTTATTTTTTCATGGTGCTCTTCTTCATTTCCTTCAATGATCTCTAATGCTTTCTTCTTAGCCCTATACACTTTGTGTTTGGACACATCAATGTCCAAATCAGAAGCAATAGTGCTCTTAAGTGTACTCAAAGGCATCTTTGGGTTCAATCTTAGTTGTTCTAAGTATTTGTTTACAATAAAGGATGATGAGGCTTGTGCATTGCTATGAAACCAAAGACAGTTTGCGTGATCTTGCACATATGTCTTAACTATCAAACAATCATCACCTTCTGTTTTACTTGCATATATTCTCCAACCACTTTCAGCCTTACATACTGCACTTACCTTATCTCCATCATTCTTTGTGAACTTTATATCAAACTTACCCCTCAATGCTGTCTCTCTAAGGGCCAACCTAAAATCTCCAACAGAGCCAAATTTCATATCTATTTCTAGTTCATTTTCTCCTGAATCCCTTGAAGGAATGTATTCTTGGTAAATAGATTCAGTATCAAGAACTTCATCATCAGATCCATTCAAGCTTATCAACTCATCATTAGGGCCATATGGGCTTGACACAGGAGCAATGGGGTCTGATTCATCCCACCCTACACCCCAACCCACATCATTACCTAAGATATCCTCATTTGGTGCTTCATTCAACAAGATAGGTGCAACAATGTATAGCTTAATTTTGTTGATTTCCCTACGGGCTTCATGGTCATAAAACATCCTAAATACATCTAAGTCACATTTGACTTCATTAAACTTTTGCCATTGATAAGGTACTTTATAGAACACTTCACTGACCTCCCCATATCCCAACTGTGATACTCCCGGATTTCCGAATGCGGGTTGGCCAGGCCCACGCCCGAATACCCGAGGATATCAAAATAAATTGATAATAAACGAACACAGAGTACAGAAGAATAAAGAAGAATAAATAAAATGCTGACAAGAAACTAAAATGATAATCTAATAATAAACCTCAGAATATATTTTCATTAATTACTAAACTCTTCTGATACAATTGATCCTCCAAAATACAACTCGGGAATCCATACTGTGTGGACCCCTAGAAAATCAAAACTAAACAAATGACAGCAATAACTGTCTAAATCAGGAAACTAAATCATAAAGGAACTCCTATGTAGTATCGGAAGAATGAAGTAGACTGATCCTCGCTCAGCACGAACAACCTCTACTCCTGACGAACACCTGAAAAATAATGGTGGGTCAGGCCCACAAACAAGTTCTACTCTATTACAGTCCAAGCAGAGATCCGATACACGTATACATCCTAGTCAATCCAACAGTAACTAGTAGTCCGTATATATATATATACACACTAAAGGAACCTCACTAGGCTATAGGGTTGTCTCAACCTGAATAGTAGGCAACATGCAAAACGCACATATAGTGGGCATGAGTATCTAGATCTACCAGGGTACACAACTACACTATATCTAGTTACACATCCCTGGCGATATACGCGCCCTAACCACTGATCCTGAGACTCAAGCTCATATCATGGCACCATACTTATATATATATAAAATCTAGTAACCGTCCTATCCAGTATAAATTAATCCTCCATAAGTCATTCAACTTGTTCAGCTGACCTGACTTGAATATAAGTAGGACTTAACATTTTAGTTAATCCATTCCCTTATATAATAAATTAATCCTCCATAAGTCATTCAACTTGTTCAGCTGACCTGACTTAAATATAAGTAGGACTTAACATTTTAGTTAATCCATTCCCTTATATAAAATAGGTAGGACTTAACTGATAAGTTAATCCATCCCTAGAATACCACCGTCCCATACCGGTGCGTTAAACCACACAATCCAACAATTGATGTAACAATTAAGGAAATACATCAGACATTCTAGAAATAACTATGATAATATGATATCAAGTTATCACAAAATAGGAATGAATTATTATTTATTTAACCTTGCTATATCATATGTCCCACACAAACTGAATCTTATACATGATGATATTTTATTATACCATCAAATAAGCATTCTCAATATTTAATTCATCCTACATATTTAATCTTAATTGCTAAAATATTTTAAAAGATTAAATCCATTCATTTGTTTAAAACATTCAAATAGCAAACATCATTATGATTGAGTCTATTTAAATTTATTTAAACCCAAAGCTAGTTCCTATTTAATGTTCAGGAATCCTAGGCATGTTTCTACGTTCCATCATTCCACAGATATGAAAAATACATAATGTAAACATATAAAAATTCACACCGAAAATCTAATCAAAATCATGCATTTATCAATTCATAACACAAGAACTGATATGAACCAATTTCATAAAACCTATGTTCTAATCCAATTAAACATGCATAATTATTTAATTTTGTGTGTTTAATATATCCTGAAATTTCCTAGGCATGCATAGAAACACGAATCAAAGGGAAAGAGATAGAAGAAGAACTTGCCTTAAACTTTCGGATCGAAAGTTAAACTTTTTCTTCTTGATCTTCTCTCTACAGGGTTTTTTCTCCTCCTTCCTTCCTTTTCCTCCTTCATTCTCTAACTCTCCCTTTCTCTAGAATATATCACGTGAATATTTCTAACCACCTTTTATAACCTATAGCTATATATTTATAGGCTAAATAAAATAACCCTAACCCTTTTCCCAATCCAAGTCAACTTAAAAAATATATATATTAAAATATTAAAAAGGTAAGTAAAATATGTTACGTATATAATTTATATATATGTTTATTAAATAAATAAATTATACACATTCCATTATTTATTAATGGATTATCCAATAATACTTAAGTTACCATAATATTATAAAGTAACTTAAAACATAACACGTATCAAATTTACGTATATTTTTATTATTTAAATATAAAACATCTACATCAAATTAAATATTACTACCCAAGTTACCATAAAAGTAATTAATAAATTACTTTCCCTTTTATATATATTAAAAAGGTAAGTAAAATATGTTACGTATATTATTTATGTATATGTTTATTAAATAAATAAATTATACACATTCCATTATTTATTAATGGATTATCCAATAATACTTAAGTTACCATAATATTATAAAGTAACTTAAAACATAACACATATTAAATCTACGTATATTTTTATTATTTAAATATAAAACCTATATATCAGACTAAATATTATTACCCAAGTTACCATAAAAGTAATTAATAAATTACTTTCCTTTTTATATATGCATATAATATATATCTATATATATACATACATAACTATCCATGGGTAATAATCCATACACATCCAACCTCCTATCCAAGTAGTCCATGGGACCCAATTGGTTGGCCTATTACTACTAACCATAACCATAAAAGAAAAATAAAATAAAATAATAAAAGAAAAGAAAACATTTAATTTATAATTAATCACCATTTAAGCACATAATCTAATTAAATAATTAACACATAGACAAATAATCAAATAATCAAGTAATATCTAATTCAATTAAACAGATAAGCAATTAGTCAAATAATCAATTAAATAATTAAAAATACAATTAAAACAAATAAATAAATACCGAGACTATCCTTTTAAAATTAGGGGTATTATACCAACTGAGTTGCCATCCCTTGAATCTGAATAAAGGACATCTTATCTGGGTCTACATTATCAAAATTTGAGATTTTTCCTCTCATGTATGTCATAGGGTGTGATTTCTCAAAAATACCCCCATGATGCACTTCAATGGTGTACTTACCATCCGTCTACAACAATATAATTAAATAAACAAGTGGGCTCAGTGAATAAGTGTACAGACCATCGATTCAATCATTAAGTGTACAGATAAATTATTGTCAACAACTGTGCACCTATACTAAACAGGTGTAAAAAAAATTCATATAACAAAGACAATTCAATGAATGACAATCAACAAAATTTTATACACAAGGACTACCTAACCACTACAAAGCATAAAAAAAACACATATTCAATAGAGGGACCACCAATGACATGAACAATTTTATACTAATTCATGAAGACAAAGTTCACTGATCGAGACAACATTTGAACAAAAAACAAATATTGCAGAAAAAAGGCTTGAAAGCAACTACATCAATAGAATAAGGCATAAAAAGCTAAAAATTATGCAACATAAAGGCAAACAACATTTGACAAAAAATAATGGCACAAATAAGGCTTGAAAGCAAGTAAATCAACAAAAAAAAAAGACACAAAAAACCTACAAATTAAGCAACACAAAGGCATACAACATTTGACAACAAAAAGGTAGAAAAAGGTGAAACCAAGTCATGAACAGAAAAAGGCAAAAAAAAACTAAAAATTAAGTGACACAAAGGCATCAAAGAAGTACTTGAAAACAACAACATCATCAACATCATATGTAAACCTCGAATCCTTTTAAAATGAAAATATGCTTTATACATACCAAGAAAAAAACGACAATGGTTATAAAACTAGTAAAAAAAATCATCCATAAACTCAATTTAGAAATGGTTTCAATCAATTATTTAGGGTAAGAGAGTTACTAATTTGACTTCAACACTTGTAGCAAGAGAGATGTTAAGATTTTAGTCACGTTTTAGCAACAGATCGAGGACTTGCAAAGCTCTGCAACTGCTAGTTGATAAAGACATAAAATGGCGCCATGGGGTTGTGTGGTTGAGATCACAATTGCCTTGTTGTCGCATTTTCATTGTTTATTTATATTTCACTTTCCACATCAGCAATTGTAGATTTCCTTAGCCTTAAACTATGTCGTTTTATTTAGGGTACAATGGTCTTTCGAATTTTCGGTACCGGAATGTTGACCCAGGGAGTAAATTGCAACAAATGCATAGTTTGGGGGTTTTTTTTGTACTTCAGGGGGTTAGTTGCAATACCTCAATAGTTCAGGGGGATTTTTTGCATTTTACCCTAAAAGTAATTAATAAATTACCCATTATTTATTAATGAATTATCCAATAATACTTAAGTTACCATAATATAATAAAGTAACTTAAAACATAACACGTATCAAATTTATGTATATTTTTATTATTTAAATATAAAACTTATATATCAGATTAAATATTACTACCTAAGTTACTATAAAAGTAATTAATAAATTACTTTCTCTTTTATATATGTATATAATATATATCTATATATACACACACACACACACACACAATGATCCATGGGTAATAATCCATATCTATCCAACCTCCTATCCAAGTAATCCATAGGCCCCCAATTGGTTGGCCCATTACTATTAACCATAACCATAACAAAAATAAATAAATAAATAAATGAAAATAATAAAATAAATGAAAAAATTTAATTTACAATTAATCAAACATCATTTAAGTACATAATCTAATTAAACAATTAACACATAGACAAATACAAATAACACATAGACAAATAATCAAATACTCAAGTAACACTTAATTCAATTAAACCCATAAGCAATTAGTCAAATAATCAATTAAATAATTAAAAATACAATTAAAACAAATAAATAAATACCGAGACTATCCTTTTAAAATTAGGGGTATTACACTTTCCGATCCAATTTGAATGTGCAATCACATAAATACCCATACAAATAACATTTAAAATAATTAAAAAAAAACCTTTAATTGCAAAATGTCTGATATACCCCTGACCATTATGATTACAAGTTTTCCAAGTTATTATTATTATTTTTTTCTATTATTCTCCCTTCATTCTCTTTC